CAAAGCAGATATTCAGAACCAGCACGTCTTCAGCTATCTATTGATAACAAAATATTTCTATTCCGGCACCAAATTCAATAAATATGAGCGACATGTTCTCCATCACAATGTTCCATCACAATGCTCCATCAAAATGTTCCTCAAACGCTACTCTATGTATTCTAAAATCGCAAAATCTCGCATATTTTCCAAGGAGGTTTTATAGATTTTCCAAAATCCCAAGAGGTTTTCGCGTATTTCACATTTTTCTCTCTCACCAAAGCACTTTTTGGCACAAATAATGCCATATTCGGAATCACCATGAAAAACTACGTCGAATGATATATAGCTTTTTAATTTTTCTGCAGAAATCTTTTCGATCAAATTGAATTATAGACTTGAAAGCTTGTCCGCAGCAAATTTTGCTTAGGAATTTGGATATTTATTTTAGCAATAGTACGCAAGTGTATAAACACATTTTTTATAGGTTTTCGAATATGATCTCTCCAATAGTGATATTACTTCTGAGTTCTGAAAATCTCATCATTAGAAAGAGCATATTCGAAAACCAATAGAAAAACATGTTTATAGGCTTTCATACCAGTTCTACAGCATATGTCCGCCTGCTCTATAGAAAAATGCTCACTAGATATCTAGTGGCTGTATTGAGTCTTAGTGGATGTTAGTGTATTTCACAAATACTTTTGAATTACATCTTATTTCATAAATGATACGAACTAAAAAAATCCTCATCAGAAAAACAGTCATTTTATGGCTGTTTCAGACATTAGTACTATATTTCGAACAAATAAAAAGTTTTCGAACTAGAAGAAGTCTGAACTTGAAGCCTGGTGGTAATGAATGCTGTTGAGATATTATTCGTTTCAAATATTATTGTTCTTTTTTCAGAAAGGATCGGAATTAGAATTTTACCCATAATCTTATCGTGGAGGATATAGATTTTTCACAATCCGTAAGTAAAAACATTTAATAAAAACAGATTTAAGTATGTTTTGTTCGTTTTTATTTATTTCAACAGCTCACTTGCCTTATATCTTCAACCGGTGGAAATTAGTAAATAATCATGGAATCTGGACATTAAATATGGTAAGTACTTTTCTTTCTCCGCTTAGCTGCTGCCATTGATATGTAAACATTCAAGATTAGAAAAAAAAGTAAAGAAAAAAAAATAATACATTTTTTTATTATTGTTTGTCTTAAAAGTAAATTTAACATTTTGATACAAAGTTTTATTTGGTGGGTCTTCCACATTGTGCATAGAGTTATGTTTACCGTATTGAAATCAATCGATAATTTATTGGAAAAATTCAATGAATTATCTCAACGCCATCAAAACTTGATTAAAGCATTTAAATCTGATTTACCAGATGTTGATAGTCCATTGCGTGATATTACGCGTGACGAAGAGATACATGTTGTTCAAGACATACCAACAGCATTTGTTCATATCGATAGTACGGATGATTTTATGCAACTGGCGAAAAAACCAAAAAGTAGTATACAAATAACTCCACCCAACTATACTCTGATATCAACAACATTGAATGATACTAGCATGAGACGTATATCATCTGAAAAATCGTCAACAATAGATGCTGAGATCATTCAGTATCCAACTATTATTAAACCAACAAAAAAATTAGCACCATTACCTAGTTTTGCATTGATTCAATCAGCTGCTACGTCAAGACGTCGAAACTTACCCAAAAATACGACTGTGCCACCAATTCTGATCAAACCAACAACACCCAAAATGAAACTACCACACTTTCAAGCTGGTGGCGTTTATCGTTCCGAAGTACTTTCACCTGTCTTACCACGTCATATAATTCATAATGCAGTAATAGCAGCAACTATAAATCACCTAGCTCGACATGAAAATTCAAAACACAGACGACAATTACCCAGTCCAAGACCGTTTCTTGTTAAACAACGACATCCATTTTGTCACACAAAGCCGACAGTACCTTCAGCGCAAGTGAAACGTCCCACAACAGCGTCAATTTCGAGACCACAAAAAAAGACCAAAGTTGAAATAACGATAGTACGCACAAAAAAGATTATGGATAATTTTCGATCAAGCATATCAGCATCATCCGCACGAACAATATTGAATACACCAAGAATCATATCGGCAAAATCCTCATAATGGGAAGATATTTTTACTAAAAATTAAAAATAGATCCATATAAATAGAATATTTGGATGGAAAAAGGTTGCTATGCTCAGACAAAAACGACTGCAGATACATATTTCTTGACAATAAAACATATTAAACTTTTTCTATATGTTTTCAGACTGTACATATTTTCATTTGGTTATGGAAATATTGAATTATATGAGCTTTTCAGCTATCATGGCGTTAACAAACTGTTTTTTGAACAATGTTTCCTCAATTATAAAATGGTTAAAGATTGTTGTACATTATTGAGTGTATATCGAAAGATTTGAACTTTTTTTTCTAATCTTTCAAACAATTATGGTAAATCGGCGGATATTCAGTAAGACTAACGCTTAATTAAGTATGATGAAGTTGCTTTTCTGTACGTTTGACAAAGTCTTGGATAAAAGCATGGCATCAACGATTTTACCTTGTCAAAACTTTTTTGTCTTATTACCCTCTATGACTTCGAAATTGGAATCCCTATAAAATATGTGTTTCAAGGTTGCAAAGAATTTTTATTAACGTTAGACATTAAATATTTTAATTAAAGAAAATCTGCTATTCTTTTTGTCAGGCATGTTGATGTCATTCCACTATCTGTTAACATATGCCGCTGACGAACTAGGAATGCTTGAAGATGTTATAGAGATCATATTAATCTACATCATCTGCAAGTGAGATTTGTACTATTCAAGTCCAACCAACAACAGCTTCAACCTCATTTTTTTCATATCAGGAAGCTCATAACACAAATCATGACTCTTTCTTTGCACATCAACTAAGTTTTATACGTTATACATCGAAGATTCTATTGTGAAGTTGTAATGCCATTACCCGATCATATATTTTCTCGTTTACCTTTAAGTATGGTTAGTTTCTATTTTATTACTTTTTAGACTCAATGTAAAAATAGGATGTAGCCAAAAATGGTGCCTGTATTCGTACAATACCGATATTTTTTAATGTTAGAATCGATCATCATGTCTCAATCGCAAGAATGTCAGTATATAATTGATATCAATAATTGAATAATCATTTTTTCTTTGTTTTAGGTTTGGTCCATTTTCAACTTCACCATTTGAAAATGTTTTGAATCGAGCAAGTTTAGATAAACTGAAAGTATACATCACTGAAAGTGCAAAATATTTGCCAGGTAAGACTTTAGAATTTGTACAATTTGTCTGGATCAAAAACTTTGTACGATTAACACCTTCATTATTAACAAACGGTGAAACTTTAAATTGTAACCACCTAGCTGAAATTTTGGGACTTAATTTATTTGTAATGAAAGAAAAGACAACAATGATTACTAGAACAGTTGATGCAAATCGATTTATGTTCGAGACCCCATTGTTTTTAGAACATTAGGAAAGAAATGAACAGGTACAGAGTTATCTGTGACACGTTTTGATGAATTTTATACCGACAAACTGTTATGTCACTTTTCTTTCCTAGTTTTTATTGCCTTTGTTCTTGATCGTCAAAAGAAGAGAATGAGACTAGCAGTGTCTTACTATACTTTGTCAGTTGGTGCAGTTACTTTCAAAATAACCGCACATTGTAAATGGTATAATATAGGCTCATAAATCTTGTTTTATAATTTAAATGGCACATAATGTACATTTAATAGTCAATTGTCCTATTTAGTAATCCATGGTCTATTGTATGCTCTAATAGGCTTTCGTTCTTGTTTTTTTTTTTAATGGCATACATTGACTAAACAGGCACGGATTGCTCAAAAAAAAAAATCATCAAGAAAATTAACTGACCGCACAAAATCAAATAACAATAGAAAATATTAAGAAAAACTCATTTTTTTTTGTATCCGTTAGTCATTTTTTTGTAATGATTCAATTATTGTCTATACAGCATATCTCTTCGAGCTATATGACGGCAACGACCGTAGAAATAACAGATTGATAGAAATTAGTAAGATTAGATACAGACGTAGAATGTTAAATTAACTGTAATGTCTCGATGTCTTCGCTATGATCAAATAGAAAACGTAGTTGTGTAATACACATTTCACACGTCTAATTTTAAGAAAAAAAAGTTAAGTTGTCACACAAAACTGTGCATCAACACTTCAATCCAATGAAAATTCGCAATGATTATTTTTTTTATTTAGCGTATGAATTAAACATAATTTATTATATAAATATACTTCTACTTACTAACTTTGATAATAATAATCGTCTTTTGCGTTTATTTTAAATTTCTCAAAGAAAACTACACAAGTGAATGTTTTTAACTCATTTGGTCTTTCTATTATGGTGAATGACACTTCGAGAAAGTGGCCAGGGGCGCAAACTTTTCAAGAACAAAAGAGTTCGGGAAGTTTGAAAAAATGTCAATAGGAGGGAAACCTGTCAAAATTTCTTTCGTAACTTCTCATCATAAACAGAGAGAAGGGTCGAATATAAAAGATACTGAGAATGTTATATGGACTGCTAAACAGTCAGAGATGATTTTTCTACTTATTTTAGCCGATGTTTCTGATATGCAGCGATTACTCGAAACTGCTGTACTTTCAAATAAACCCAAAAATGTCGAAATTTTTGCTCGTTCTGAAAAGGTAAGAGAGAAGTAGATATGAGTAAAAAAGAAATAATTAGACTAAAATCATTTTAGACCTATCGCCGTGCTTTTGGAATAAAAACAAGCGGTTGTAAAAGATTGTACATTAATGGCATTTACTTTATAACAAGCACAACTATTCAATGATAAATATAAATAATCGATTCAAGATATTCAGCATGTTTTAATGAGTTTTGAAGGCAGCGAGAGAAAGAGAGAACTTCTTTTAATCCATATTAATTTTCTGTAATATTTTCAGAAATGGAACATCGATAGAAAATACCTATTCAAATATGGGTAGCAAGACTTATGCATTCGTTTATCTTCAATTGTTAACATTCTCTGATCTTTATCGTGCTCAACCTGGTACTTATGGAAATGTTCAGACATAATACCTGGTCACCACATGCATGAACATTGAGCAATTCACCTGAATAGGCTCATTTCATGCATAAGTCGCACGTGCACAGTAGGATGAAAAAGAAAATGGAAAGAAATGTCCCCTTCGTCTCTTTCTCTCTCTGCTAGACGATCCTTTTTACGTATACGCACTGACTGACAATAGTTTTGCACTACTCATTTTTTATTTGAGTTTGAAAATATAAACAATATACAAGACATTATTTAAGATGATGGCAATTGATATTTTTCTCGAATTAGATCTCGCCCAGTCTTATTTTGTTTAAATAAATCGCGCATACTTTCATGTGATTTTTGTCGTTCATTAGCCATTTGTTCTTCGTCACGTTCAATTCGACGACGTAGTAGTCTTTGATTAAGATTACAAAACGCTGGTTTACAAAAACAACACCATGTAACACAAATTAGAACTAAACCGATAATAACCACGAATACAATTAACAATATTAAATTTTGACCGTCTAATACCATTTGAACACACCTGTAGTAATTCTGTTTCAATAGAAATGACTATCTTGCAAACATGGACTGTGAAGGTTTTTTTTCTTTGACACGATGAGTCATTTAATAAAGTGTGCCAGCGTATACAAGACGAAATATGAAAACAGTTTTGTTCCTTCCTATTACATTTCGTATTTTTGTCAAAGATTCGAATAAAAGAATGACTGAAAGTAGTAGAGGAAAAAAAAAAGCTATTGATGTCAAGCTGTAATGTAAAATGCGTTCTCTATTGTGCGAAAGTAAAAGCACTAACCAATTCTCTGAAAAACATTCACCAGCAAGCGGAGGAAATTTTTTATTCAATGTAGTTTCTGAGAAGCGCTGTAGTAGCTCAAAACAGTTCTCTGCTTCACTTCAACACAGGTTATTGTATCGAGTACAAATTTTAATCTACATTTACGTGAGATGTTCTCTCACCTATGTCTTTTGTTTATTTCACGCAAAGATCATATCCAACTTAACTGATTTTAAATTGACTGCAAGCCTTTTTTTGAATAGCAAAAGTTTTGTTTGATAGGAGAATTAGACAAGGCCAGGAGGAATATTTTAACAAGATGGTGACATCGTTCACAAAAGTTAAAATAGAATTAGTTCATTGTTGGTTAGGAATGCAGATAAAAAAGTCTATTGTTTGAACACAATCCTTTGAGACCTCTTATTTCTTTTTTCTATATTATAGTCTCTGACAAATAAAAAACGTTATTTGATCAATCAGCATCGCCAAGGTTATCTCTCTCTCTGTGGTGAGAGTTACTATAAATGATATAATGACTGAAAATTCAAATTTTATTGCACTAAAAAATACCTAAAATTATACACAAACAAAAAGACACGATTATACCATTTCATCATCAAAGGATCGACTTATTTTAATATACGTTGATGATGCTGAAGATGATAATGATGAAGATTTATTATTGTCTCTTCTTTCAAATGTTGAAAGTTTTGTTTGTTCATTTGTTGCATATTTTTTAATAATTGCCGTTAACATATGTGGTTGATGGTTATGATGATCATCTAATGTCGATATCATACTTGTATTTGATATTGTTGTAAATGGTGACGATGATTGTGATGCTGTTGTTGTATGATGAACATTAAGAACAATTGTACGATGAATTAATGTATCATGTTCTTCTTCTTCATGATTATCTTGATTGTCTTCAACTGATTCTTTTGAACTAGATGATAATGATGGTGTTTTTTGTCGTTTTAAACATAAACAAAACGCACTTATTATAAGAAGAAAAATAAACAAAAAGATTAGAATTATGAAAAAAACTGTTTTATAATGAAAATTAAAAAATGGTGAAATAAAATGACTAGAATAACTAATATTACATTTAGAATAATTATCAACAATTACAATATGGATATTGTATATTGATGAATGCATATCATCTTGAAGACGAATAGTAATTGTAAAAAATCCAAGTGATATTTGAGTAGTATTGATAGTTAATGTACCATTTGGATAAAGAAAAATATATTTTATTGCTGTTAATATTGAAAATGTAATATAACCATTTTCATCTAGATCATAAGCTTTCAATAGAATTGTATTATTAGGAGAATGATGTTCAAAACAGAGAATAGAATTATCATCAATTGGATAGATCAACATTGGCATATTATCATCAATATCAACTATATTAACTTCTACGTTTGCTGTTGTTGTATGTTGATTATCGTAAACTTGTACCCGAAATTTAATTGATGATAAATTTTTATATTGTTCATGATCAAATACCATATCTGTAAATAATTTTCCATCAGATTCTAATAAAACTTTTCCAATTGTATTAGGTTTATCTTCTGGATGTATTTTATATGTAAGTAAATCTTCTTCATCAAGATCATATGCGACTATAAGACCAATTAGAGTATGAACAGGACGATTTTCTTCAATTTGCATGGAAATTTCTTGTGATAAAAATATTGGAATATTATCATTGATCCCTATGACTGTAATTTCAACAGGTGCAATTGTTCGTAATAAACCAATATCTTCAGCAATTATATCAAAATGATAAATACGTTGTTGTTCATGATCAAGACTCACCTTCGTATATAATTCATTATTAAGATTAAGTGAAAATATATTTGTATAATTTGATAATTTATATTTTATTTGAGAATTAATTCCTTCATCAGCATCTGTAGCTAATATTAATCCAAAGACATAATTTAATGGATTATTTTCTGTTATATTAAAATGATACGATATCTTTTCAAATACGGGAAAACAATCATTGATATCCATTAATTTTATCTGAAATGTTAATGAATTAGATCGACTTGGTTGTCCATGATCACTGACATACAATGTAAAATAATAAATAGGATACTGTTCACGATCAAACATTTTCAATGTTACTAATTGATAAGTATTATCAGTTATTTTTTGTACAGATAAAAATTCTTTTACAGTCATATTTGTTAGTATAACAGATAGATGTCCATTATCGTTACTATCCTTATCTGTTGCACTCAAATACAATAATGTTGTACCAATTGTTATATTTTCTAAAACACTTATGATCGTGTCGTTCAAATCAATGTTAGCTGGTGCAAATGTAAATATTTCCGCACTGTTGTCATTTTCATCTTGCACCTATCCAAAAGAAAAAGAAGAAGAAAAATAATGATAGATGTGTAACAATAAGAATATATTCTATAATAAGACGTATGGTATATCACAAAGGGTACGGCCGTTGGCTGCTAAGAATGTTTATATACATTAACACTTTTTTTGAGTCTTAATTGGCTGCGAATAATTGATCTCAATTAGAGAAGAAGTTTTAAATGATTCGTATCATATTTTCTTTTCTTATTTTGCAAATGTATTACAGATGATTTCTCTAGTGATTATCAATCGACTGTTTATATTTTCATTATTCTCGTGTGCGTGTTCTGATATAAATCAAAAAAAATCTGTGCTATTATTGACTGAAAGCAATTTTCTTTTACTTGAAAAAAAAACTAACTTTCTCAGGTGATAGATCGATTGATATCAGAAAAAAGAATAACAATAAATAAATAAATATAAACATCAGATTAATTATACGCGTTCATTAGTGTAATATACTAGTATCAACTAACATCTGAAGATACCATTATTCTATAGTTCGGAGGATTTATTCGGGTTTCTTTCTAATTTAAATTAGTTTTTTCATTGATTCATCTAACCTTGAAATAGAAAGAGTAAAAAATTGAACTTAATACTGATATTTGATAGGTTGCTGCATCAATTCTTGTTTTAAAACTTCTTGAAAATAAAAAGTTAACTTGTTTATTTAAGGCAGTTATAAAGTTCCTAAATAGCTTATTTTGTAGGAAAAAAAATCCGTGGTTATAATTTGACAGTATGAAGAAAAATATCGAAAAAATCAATTTTAGAATTACTCATATCAAGAATAAATGATAATGTGATAAAATGTTGTCTAAGAAATAGATAACAGTAATTAGTTACACATCATAAATGAGTTAATCAAGTTTATACCGCTGTGTATACGTTTATGACTCTTTAAAAAAAGTAATTTTCTTTATCAAAGTCCATAGTATATAGAATTAGTATTTATCTACTTACATAAATTATCGTTTTCATGTAAACAGGTATCGAATTTTCTCCCAAATCATTTGCTTGTATTTGTATTTCATAAATAATTCGTTGTTCATAATCTAATTGTTTAATTAGTGTTAACCAACCAGTTATCGAATCTAAATAAAATGTATCAACTATTGTCTGATCACCTTTTGTCCATTTACTAAATTGATAACGTATTTCACCATTTTTTCCAATATCAAGATCATATGCATGAATTTGAATAATTGTTGAATTAATTGGTAATAATTCAGAAATATTTACTGTTATCTGTTGTTGTTCAAATTGAGGAATATTATCGTTAACATCTAATACATTAATAATAATTGTTGAACAAACATGATGTTGAATTTCATATGCACATAATTTATAATAATGTGTAGATATTTTTTCACGATCAAGAAAATTTTTTAATATCATTTCTGGTACAATTGTTAATGATTTTTCTAATATAACTAATTCAAAATAAATTTCTGAATCATTTGTTACTGTTGACGTAAGCGAATATGATTGAATATTATTTGGTGGTTGATCTTGATCTTGTGCTTGTGGCAATTGTAATCGTGTGCCAATACGTATTGCTTCACTTACATTTAGTTGATAAATATCTTGTGAAAAATATGGTAAATTATTGTTTTCATCAAGAATGATGATTGGTAATAATAGAATATGCGATATTGTATCTGATATCGATGTTATTTCGAGTTTTAATGTACAATTCAAGCATGAACATAATCGTGCAATACTACATAAATATTCTCGATCTAAACGATGTTTTACAGTAATTGTACCTTTAAGATCATCGATAAGAAAATAACTTGTAATAGAATTATTTGATGAAAAACTAAATAACCAAGTAGGAGATGATGATGAAGAACTTGTTTCAGATAGAACGTTTAATAAATGTACAATAGGAAAACCAATTGGTGATGTTTCACTACAATTTACGGGTGGAAGTCGTATATAACGAGCATAAATAATATTTAATTGAATTGAATAATAATAAATGAACAACAGTAATTCGGAAAACATGGCATGGTAAAACGAAATAATAAAGATCTAATCAGTTTCAATCAAGTCATTATTTCCTAAAATAAATAAATAAAGAACGTTATTGTTAAATTTACATTTTAGAGTAACCTTTTTGCTTTAAAGAACAAAAAAAGATGAAAATGTACAAATTAATGATGTAGAACTTCTCAGCTACTATGCTATAGTTCTTATCTCATTTTAAATTTAACTCTAAAATGTGAATCAGATATTTTCTTAATTCTCATTGGATTTATTGAACAACAATATTTGTGAGAAGTTTTATAGTTTTAATTCTAATTGGTATCGATGAAAATGAAATTTTTCTACATAATATAATTAGTTTTCTACTTTTATCTGATACCTTTTTCTGATAAAGTGAGAGGGAATATTTAGTGAAATGGCACTAAAATTAGGATTCAAACTAGTCATTATTCATTCGATCATCATTTGAAGGGCGTATAAATACCAATGACTAGTCTAGACAAGACAATTGTCATCCCGCTTATTTTTCTCTTTATTAAAATTAAAATTAGAGAACTAATCAACACTTACATTGTTTGACAGAAAACAAAAAAAGCTAGAAAAATGAAAAGAATAAAATTTTTTTGTTACATTATGTTTATTTATTTTTTTGTCTGATCAATCATTTTTTTCATATCTTAAAGTGTGGCATAAGTATAAGGTCATCGAGCAAAAGATATCAGTTTTTTTTTTGACCACCCGTTATTCACGTCTATCCATCATCAAAGAAAGACAAGAACACGATTATCTAATTAGCAGTATATCTTTTTTCACTTCCGATTAAAATGTCAGAAAAAGTCCATATCATTTCTCTCTTTCTCTCTTTCTCTTTCTCTAAATGAAAACTACAATGTTGTCTTATACAGTTGATAATGTTTTTTTCTCCTTTGTTTGAAAATAAGAATTCTTACATAGGAGATGTATTCAAGCTGATAAGAAAACATATTTCACACACCTACTGTGTGTATGTTCGTTGAACGGTAAATATAAGAATGAACAAACGAATGATGATGATATCTTCAACACATATAGTAGCCGGAAAACTAAAAAGACACACGTATTTATTTATTTTATTGTTGTTCAACTAAATGGATTGTGAAACATCATACAAAAATACCGCCTTAAAACGTTTTGGCATCTAATTTTGACATGAATAATTATTTTTTTTAACTATAGGAAGAAGAAAAAAAGAAAGGAGAAATGTCGTTATCCAGAGAATGAAATCAAATATGATGAACATTAGAGAGACGCACACACCTCTTTCTTAACAGAAAAAATTTGTATTTATCCATATTTTCTTCTAATGAAAATAACAGCTGCGACCGATGTAGATAAAGAAGTTTGTGATTTAGTTTTAAATCGTGTGCAACATAAGTTACTTCCTTGTAAGTCAAAGATTTATGACTTGAACTTTCATCGCTTAGTTATCTAACATTGCTAACTGCTACTACTGTTGTGAGAGAAAAGTGAAGCTATAAAAAAATCCAACTGTTACTCTATTTTCTTACAAGTGACTGTAAAAAGAAAACAAGTCACTCGCTACTAATAGTGAGAATCCGATTTGTCTACAATCTTCTTTTAAGTACACAATTCATTTGTTCATCCTTCTATCTTCTGAACTGAATATACAACAGAATTTTGTTCCATATACTTTTCTAAGGAAAAAAAAACATAACAGCTGTGACTTTTATTAAACCAGAAAACTGATATTTAAAGTACACGGTTTTTGATTATCTTTTTATTCTAACGGTAACCTTCTTTTCTTTCTACTTAGATCTGTTTTTAACATTAAATGAAGAAGGTTAAACATTAAAATTAATGTTAAATAAAATTATTCACAACTGGTTTGTGACATTTCTAATGAAAAATTTTTATAAACGGAAGGAAGAAATTCAATGTTAACAGACAATAACTGTGTATATAACATATTATACTGCTTATCTTACCTTGATGAACTTTTAATAGGAAATAACTAAATTGTTATGACATTCGTATATACTTCCCACATCGTCTATATTATATAACAGATTTTTTCTATAGATATGGGTGTTATTGTTCTCTAATACGTAGAACTCTTCTTTCATACTGTCGCATGTTCATATAAAAAATGATTAATTGACTGTCTTCATTTTCATATAATATTGTTCTGATTAGAAAAAAGCATAGGGAAAAGATTTATTCTATTTAGATGTGCATGAATATCCTTTATATCTATTTGTTGTAGTATCAGTTTAGAATATTTCATTTCTTTCCGTTTAATGGGGAGTGTCTATAGAAATAGAAATAGAAACAAAAACTTGTCAAAAACTGGTGCGCTTTTCCGTTTATTCTTTCAACTACTGCTTAATTTATGTGTATGTAAAAATACAAGAAAGAAATGTTTAACTTAGAGACATATTAGCACGTTTCTTAGAAAACATGTTCAATTGAATAGAAAATAAGAAATATTCATGAGTATTTGATGTAAAACGGAAATAAAATAAAATAAAATGGGATAGCAGATTTAAATTACTTTTTAAAAATCAGGAAGTGAAAAAAAAGAAGTTTTCTTCTCCTATTTGTACGACATATAGAAATATTGAGTATATAATTGAAATTAACGGTATATGAGAAGAAATATATGAAGTTTTTTTCTTCTTTTAAATAATGTACAACCATCACCACCATAAAAAAATGATGATGATGATGATGATGATGACTTGAACATACAACAATAGAAATGGTTCGGTAATTGATTTAAACACAAAAAAAAATTTGCATATGTTGAAGATCTAACATTAATCGAATCAAATTTATATAACATTTCTTTTGTGTGCTCTAAGGCTATAGAAAAATGTGCGGTTGTCCATGAAAGATAAAGAAAGAAAATTCTGTCATTCAAGAATAGGGCCACATAGCTGATCAATAGTAGAATTTTTCGGGTTTTTGAAAACTGCTGACTTACCAAGAAGAAATTTTGTCTGATCATCAACTACGATAATAGATTGAGGTTGATGAGTCCTGATGGTAGTTGTGTTAATACTTTTTATCGCTACACTTTCAGTATCGTGTATAACATTCTAAAACTTCCCGTTAGGTACTTTTCGTGACTAAATGAGTATTAATGCATCATCAACGATACAAATCAACTAACATTTTACTCTCACTGCCTATTAAACTTGACTTAAAAGTCTATTTATCTCTGTATATGAAACTATGGTACTTGTAAGAAGGACATTTTTCTTTTTTTTTGCAAGGTTGATAAACATATAATCAACAATATTAGCTTTCCACTAGCTTTTTTTTTCCATTGGAAGGGCATCAAACAATTCTACATGTATGTATATTGAACTCTCTCTATACTTCAGCAAACAATGTTTTTCGAGTACATTTATCAACATTTTAAGAGATTATACAGATGAAAATAAAAGAGAAAAAAAAAAGTTGAACTGAATAATCGACAGTTGGTTGATTTCAAAGTATGGATTCAACAATCGACACAATTTTACTATATTAAATGCTATTTCTCTCATTTTATTTTTTAAGGATAATCTCTCTAGTTGATTATAAGATACTTTCACTTTCACTGTTTCTCTTGCGGTACCATTGATGAGTTCATCTTAGACGCGTTATTGTTCAATAGTCGATGATTGAAGGTGATGACGGTGCTGAGATATGCGTAATCGACGTTTACAGATATAAGTAGAAAAAGTTGATGCCGACAAAGTTTTCGTGAAAGCCCGATGAAAAACTAAACTTTTGAAAAGTCTTTATTGTAGAAATTCTCATCGATTACATGGAGAACTTTTAGTAGATAACACAGCGTGTATAGCCATGAATATTAAGAAAAGTAATGTGAATATTAGTGCAATGAATGCGCGTGAAAAAAAGTTTTTTTACTTGCAATCATGCACGAAATACTCACAGAAATTCTTCTGTGACACTGCGAGACCACAAGTGAAAATTGAGAAATGTGTACTGTGCAAGTGTAAATTTTATACATTCACATGCCGGTAAATATGACCTCACGTAATCGCTATTGAAATTAGAGAAAGTTCAAAAGTGGCCATGCATTTGATATTGTAAGTGCATGTTGCTAACGTCATGAAAAGTCCCCTAAGACCTATCAAATGTCTTATTGCTTGGCTTAATTTAGTCCCAAGTCCGTCCATTTGAGGTTTCTTAATATATCAGTCTGACTTAATCGAAGCATTTCACTCTGTATAATAAACTGATCGTTATGTGGTTTCATCTTACCTTGTCTTTAAATTTAGATGGATACTTTAAACGTTTCATGTTCTGTAGATGAGCTTTTAAAACATCATTGGAATAAGAATGGTCGTTTTTCTCCCTGATAAACTAATGTTCAAAAACAGAAAAAGAAAAATCTCTCATTGAATGACTTCTTCTTTCTTTCTCTTGGTCTAATAAAGAAAGGAAAAGAAAACAAAGAACAAAATACAATCCTTTTTTGTTAAATACATACGCACACACTGTTTGGAATAGTCACTAATCGAGAGGAATATGTACATATATTTGATATATCTGTTTTGAAACATTGAATACTTTCTTTCTCCATCTTATTGAAAAAACAAGTCAATAATGTCAAGTTGCGGAGGAAACATTTGTATGTATTTGCTTCGTTCAGCTGATGCAATGTCCGATAATAAATAGATATTCAGATTTCTTATATAGAAATAGTATCCGTTTTCAGAACGACATAAAGTTGTCTCAAGAAGGTTATTTGCATCTGTTGTTGTAATCAACGTTTAGCTCTCTTTTTTTCTTGTATAAAAAAACAAGAACCTTGGTAAAATTGGTGAAATTTTTTTATAAAAATTATAAGCAAACATTTTTATAGAAGACATAATGTTAACTATAACGTGTAAAATTGTTAAAAACCGGTCAGTTTTTTCCGGTGTTAATAATTTAATAAGTGCCGCTTAAATAAGAGATAAAATTATAATCTTAGACCATTTCCGTTTAGGTCTATTTTCATGTAATATGTACACAGAAGCTTATCTATGACGCCGGTCACTCACTTTCTAGGTGTTCCATCATCGACAAGAAAATGAATCTTTTACGTTTTCCGGTAGAAAAAGTCCTCTTGATTTTAATTTTAGTACAAATACACTCAATCAATCATACACTTTTCGTCTTATTTTAAGAGTGCTGACCTCTCTCCTTTTCTCTCTCTTTCTCTCTTTCTTCTACTTTTACATCATGAACGCTCGAAGGAAAATAAGAGTCATCTTCACATTAGATATGTGCGTGAACATTAAAATTGAAATTCAAGTGTGTATGAATCCCTACTATTACTACTAACATACTTAAAACTATATTCGGTAATTATTACTCATGATGTAACAGACTGAAATAGAAAATTCATCTTTGAGGTGTTGATGATAAAAAAAGTGTGAATTTAGATATTCTCTCTTTCTTTATCGACGAATCACTTTTTTTTTGTTGTATTTAAAGATCATTTTATTGTTAATGAAGCATATGATAAATGATTATACAGACTGTCAATGTAAATAAAAGTCAGAGGGAAGGGAGATTGCAGAATTGGCTATTTTATGCATGACCACAAAGTTTTTATTGTGTAAAGAGAAACGGAATGTAGAAAATAAAATTGACGGCGATTAATATCTAACAGCTACTTTTTTCCTTTGTTCATCTGATTAAATACTAGCAAACTCGATAATTTGACGTAATAACTGTCAATGTGTCGTTAGAAATAATTGTTTATTTTGGACTATGCAGAAATTGCATCTGATTTTCAGAATGCAAGTGTATCAGCGCTGTACTAATAAAATGGCTCATAATCATTGATAAGAGAGACAAAAATTTGTCGTTTCGCTTCTCGTGGAATTTGAAAAATGTTCGTTTCGGGCGGACAGAGTCTTAAGGACTTGGCCAGTTAACTCACCATATTTTCGTAGACACGGATATATCTCAAAACTTTCAGCATACTTTTCTTTTAATTTCGGACGTCTCAGAGCTCTGAGTATCTCGTCATTTGAAAATTATAAGAGAAAAAAACATCACAAAATTCCATTCTAGTATCAGAATTAGCTGGTCAAGCCATTAATTGGTAGTATTTCTCAGATAATTTCGTTTCTACTGTGACTCTACACTTCGATTCCCTAAGCTATTTTCACCATATACAGGCACTTGCAACCTATTTTCTGATTCCGAGTGTTTTCAACCAAGACTATCTCTAAATTTTTCGAGGACGCTATAAAAGAAAAACTGATATTGTCTTTTCACCATCTGCTATAGCTTCTACAATACTCAGTTTTCTTCTGCATAACTGCTCAATCCTATTTATTAAAAAAATCATCCTTAGGCACTAACTATTGGGTTAATTTTTTTTTAACCACCAATATGTTCTACATACGATAATTAGTTTAAACAAAGATTTGGTACTTACATCGTTTAATACGTAGATAGAAATCGAATTTGTAACAAGATCATGTATGTCATTATAAAAAGGAGAGAGGAGCATCATATATCTTGTTTTGTACAGTTACAGTTGTGTTTAATTAAATTCAAGTGGCATACCCACCCACCCACAATTAAAAGAAATTTGAAGTTCATTTGTATAAACAATTAGCAATACGATATTGTTAGAAATTGAATTATGATTTTGACAATAAAAAAAGTAGTGTGTGTGTGATATACTTGACAAAAAACAGAATATATTCATTTTTTTTTATGGTTTGTAACAGGAATACACATAAAAAGAACAGTTAAATATGAGAATCTGGCACTCGAGTGTGACTGACCATATATGCCCGCCTTTCTTCTGTAGATTTGAATGATGGCAATGAACTCAATTTAAACTAAATAGTAGAACTGTTATAGTCTGAATAATTAACAATCACGAGAGATAATAATATAATAATTGTGTGGATAGTTTCAAATATATACTAAACGTTCTTAAAGTTAAAACAAAACACCTGTCACTTAATGTTCCACATACATAAACGAATACTAAGATTTTAGAAACTATCACATAGTAGCCATTATTCTAGTGATGATGCTTATTTTCAAATATTGTCTATGTACGGCCTTCTGTAAACATATAACTGAGCGACACTTCTTAACAACATTTTAGTATTGAACATTAGTAAGTAATACAATATGTAGGTTGTGAACTGCAGATTAAAGGTTCCTCTACAAAAAAAAAGTCAATTTTGTAATAGATGTGTATGTTCAGAATCTATAATACTTTCCAGCATGCAAGTACTTTACTATGTTTGTATAGTTTTCGAAAATCCTTGAAAAAAACAGGTTTCAGAAAGATCATCACTGTTCGTCCTTTGTGTTCCACTGATTCTTCTCTTGAAGTACCCAGGTGAAATTCATCTTACAAGATTTGTCTTTTTCTTATGAAATCTTGTAACAAGATCTTACTGCATGATCTTGGAAGATCCTAATACAAGATCTTGTAAAATCTTGCCATTGAGAGACGTAACTTATATTTATTTCTTATCGCAAGATTATGCGATTTTCTGTTACAAGATCTTACAAGAAGGGATTTCATCATTCTTACCACATAAATTTAGCTACGATATCTAGTATATATACAACATCATTCTTATGACAAAACTTGGAATTTTTTCTTTCTTCAACTTTACCCAACAGCTAAGAGCAAATAAAGTGCATGGCTATAAGGAACATGGTTAGACACGATCCTAAGGACGTCAGTGAACTGTCTATGGTAGAAGATATTACGAGTAGAGAAAGATAATTTTAAAAGGATCTAGGGAGAATTTGTAGAACGCGATCAGGCACGTAATCTTGTAAGATCTTGTCACCTCTTACACAATCGTACAAGATCGTGTCTATCACACGACCTTAGGAAATCTCGCTGCAAGAAATATCTTGTGAAATCTATACAAGAAATCTTACAGACATTTCTTGGGGAATCTTGAAAGATCGTGTACAGATTTCACAAGATCTTGTCAAATCTTGTGAAATCTTGAGATAAGATCTTTTAAGTCCTATACAATCTTGCAAGATTTTATTTCAAGGTTCGTCGACATGAACAGACTAGTAGAATGAACGTTACTCGTCAGCATCCGGTGTGGTTCAACTTTGTGTGACTTCGCTTCGAAAAATTATAAGCATTTTCTCACAAATCCTAAAATATGTTAATGAATACGCTCGGAGTCTTCTCCTTCGCACTTTTGGCGCTAGTGTCACTCAGCACAACATATCTCGATAATTTTGTTTGTTATAATAGTTGATGAAAGTACTGACGGATTGGTTATGAATACTTCAGAAAACTGCTTCCTATTGTGAAAATTTTTTGCATATTTTTCATATATTTCACCCGCATTTTCTGAGTGTCGTTTACGATTTTTCCTCAACTTCCAACCAAGTTACACGCTAAAAGCATCGGAGAGGAATTACTCAACCGTCACGACTAATCTTTAACAACAAGTATCTAGTTTAGTTTAATTATCCCCATCTGTGCGACGCTCGTCTAGTTTCTGGGATCTGGGTGGAAATATGAGGGTTATAAATCTCCGATGATGTTTAAAGTCTAGTGCAGAACTTAGTTCGTTTAAACGAATCTGGTTTTGTATTTTGACACTTTAAGATTAAGGTCATATAATGCAACTTGTACTCCAGAATAAAGTTTAATCTAAATGATACAGATAAACTCATACCTAATTTTCGGTATGATAACATACAATGCTACCTGAATACAACATAAAAAAACAAATACCCTATCAAGTTTGAGAAATCAGAGGTTTATTTTGTACAAGATTCTGTAATCCGTAGAATTATTCAGTTCCTAGCTAGACAGGCATTTTGTTGTATCACGTCCTCTTCTCACTCCACTTAAGTGGAGTGAGAAGAGTGAGAAGTAAATTTACTTTCTAGGTTTACAGAATAAACGCTCAGTTCACTGCTTTGTTGGTGTTTTTATTACGTATTTATGACCAAAAATGAGATAAGAAAAAGAATACTCTCTCATGGACACAAACAGAAATAAATTACGTTGATTACATTGTTTAAAATAAACATACTATGCGATTAACACAGATGTCGCAATCGTATTGTCAAGAAAACTTTTTACCGGAAATAATAATACTAAATGTACAAATCACATAGGGAATCTTGGTCATGCAAAACACATGACTAAAAGATGAAAGATTAGCATCTGAACGCATATTTTTAAAAAAAAACATCTGAATATATTATTCTCGTTAAATTTCACACAAACTCATTCAACAATACACCGTTTATTGCTGACAAATGAACGGCGTAATGTTTGAAAACGTTTACCAATTGTTAATTTTGGTTTCTTTGCTGTTTGATCAATATATTCAGCAACAATATTTTCATCATCATTATAATGAATTGTATTGTTGTCTTCCTCGTCAATCGCCGGTGATAATGTCAATAGAGTACGATTATTTCTATTTATATTGAGCTGTTTTTTCCCATTAGATGAAATTTGTTGTTGTTGTGGAAGATTTTCATTTGATAATGACGACTGACGTTTTTTGAGAAAGAATGATACACTAGTACGTAAAGTACGATTAGAGGTTTTATTCTTTTGTTTATTAACACTATTTACAGAGCTACGTTCACTGTTTGTTGGTTCACTAAGAGATGAATAACCGGATTCATCACATGCTCGACTTTTGGTTTTGGATAATTGATCTGGTACACTAGTAGGTTTCCGATCATTTGCTGTTGTCATTGTTGATATGGAGAAGCTAAAACAAATATGAATATGTATGAAATGAAAATATTATTTTAACTGCTCATAACTTTTTTAATCAAAGATTCGAAACATTTTGTATTAGGTGCTTTTTTTCAATCTTACTGGTTGCATGGAAAAACCACTATTCTTCCCTTTTACATATAATATAGACATTTTCTAACGAAATTATGTGATGATAAATTTTAAATACTCTAACGTTTTAAAGGAGACTCATATTAATCGAAAAAATGCAAACACGATTTATTGTGCCTTACAGCAAGTTAAATACGAAAAAATAATCAATTGTCAGTGGAGAACTACGTGCAATCAAAACTTACTGCGGTACTGGTGCTTGTGGTGCTCGTCGTCGTTGTTGTGATTTTTGATTCTGTTCATTATTTTTATTTGACGCTATTAACGGCATTGTCGATGATATCGCTACTTTAATTTCTTGATGATTGTTGTTCTCACGACCATTAATATTCTCACTATTTTCATCTGTTGTTGTCGTTGTTTGATCGTATAGATCACTGAATGATTGTGCTTTAATAATGAGCCTTTTATTCGAATTGTTACTCTCTAGACGTGAACGACCACCACCATCACCACCACGTTGTTGATTTCTTAGAACATTTTTTGTCTGTCGACCCATTGACCGAAATGATTTTCGTATACGATGGGCAATACGATCAAACGGTTTTGACGGTAATGAAAATACTTCCTCTTGATCATTTTCATTTATTGTCATATCATCATCATTTAATCGTGGTTCGAATAATTGTTGTTCATATGACGATGATGAATGTCGACGACGTTGAAATAATTTTGAATTTGAATTTGTACTATCAAAACGTTGATGTGATGTTGTTATTGTGCTAGGTATTATCGTAGTATTAGGTGTTTTTCGCCACGTCAATGTACGTAATGATTTTCGTATTGTTGTTGTCATACTACCACTATTTCTACAAATAAATAGTAAAAAAAAATCGTAAAATAGATATTGAACTTCAATGATTATATCTATGTTTTGACAATGAACTTTCATCATGTGAGAAGAGAGTGTTATTTGTATCATTGATGCGGTTACTGTTGTGTTCAATCAATAATTACAGGGTTTTTTTCAATCAGTCTTATCAAAGAAAACATTAGTTTTTTTAAATGATGCAACATGATAAGTATATAAAATGTGTTATTTACTTTCTTCTTGTGCAATACACGAAATTTTTTTATATTTAACCCTGAGTTCCTGACTAAACAATCTTTCATAGGTGAACTATCTTGAAATAATAGTAGACTTTACACTCAAACTACGATAGTTTGCCTCTTCAAAGCTAATTTGTATAATCAAATATGGCCTTTTTTTCAATAAGTAATCACAAACTTCCATTATTTTTTTGTAAAGAATATTGATACAAAATAAAATTTCTATTTGAAGGTGTTGTTCTGTTTTATTTCATAGCTCACAATCTTATCAAAAAGAACGGGGTGATTGACATGGGTTGCTCTGGTCTTAGATTAGAAATTTATTCTATATGTTCCCACATCTTACTTTAGTCGAACGTAGTACCACCAAGATAAAAGTATGAGGAGTTAGTAGTTAGTTAGTGGGTACCTCATTTGCAACGGAAAATGCACAAAATATGCGATGAGTATTGCTTGTCACGTGGACTATTCGGTTAATTAACTACTCAATTTTACTTAGACTACATCGATTTTCCATCTCTCTCTGTCCTTTTCTTCACAAATTGGTTATAATCTATAATCGATTGCTACTTTGTGATATTTCTTTTTAACAAAGTCTACACCAATTATTCGATACTTCGACATCATTTTCGACATGTCTTTTAGCAGTTCTTTCGCATCGAATAATAAAGACAATTGTAGATCTCCTGGACGATCATTCCTGCCGTCGGAACTCGTTCGGCAACAAAAAATTCGACAACTGATTTTATAAGAATTGCTAGATTACGGTGAGTTCCATTACGGATTCCATACTGGTTTCTCGTAGAAAGCAGATCCGGTCAGTCAGAAAAGACCGAGATTTTACTGATTTCCCGACCAGAAAAGTGTCCGCAGGCATTGAAAACGAGAAGGATCCGACCGGTATCTTGTCAATGAATTTCTTAGTGGGATGACACCTAAATTTGACCTGGGATTTTTCAGTTGACTAGTGGTCTAATTGAATCGCTCAATATATGACACTTATTCAACATAGTTCTCAGAACTCAAGAATTTAGTGATAGCTTACCGAATAAATAACGAAAGTGGTGATAGCTCAGATAATAAAAAAAATTATTTATTACTATAACTATCAGTTCTTCTAATTCCAGACTACTTTTTAGTGCAAAAAAATCTTGTAAGATTTTGTTTTTCGTCTCTATCCTTCGCACACACACTCAAATAAAAATAATTATAGATGATAGACAAAATAATACAAGCTCTCTGTCTTTCGCCCTCTATCTTGTAGAAGAATAAATCATGCGTATGTTGAGTACTTCTATTTTTCTATTTTTACTTTTCTTCATCGAAAGATTTTGTTCTTCTTATTAAAAACGAGTCAATGAAAAAAAGAGAAGAAATGTGCTTTTAGAATGAGACCTAAGCACGTACATTGTTTCGAAAAAATACCTTAAGAATTAAGTGTGATTAGCTTACCTTTTTCCTTTCTTTCTTCGGAATTCATCTGTAGACTATAGAAGGCTAAATTTAATACCACTGCAAGTCCTCCTTAGAGGTCATCTTATTTCCTAACTTCGCATTTTTTGTCCAATTTTAGAATGTTTTTGCTCATGCGATTATAACCAAAGTCTTGCTTCTAAATAGAATGATTTAATTTGTTCTAATCTGTAAAAAAGAAGACCTACACTATTATTTTCTAATATTTCAGAAAAATTCAAAATTTTCCTAACCTCCCATGTATCTCACACAATAGGCATTGAAGACAGATATTCATGTACAAGAAAGAATTTTACTACATCCCATTAAAAGAATTATTATTCTCTTGTTCTTAAACACCCACATCAGCTTTCATGAGAAGTGACCACCCACACATTTATTTCTTAGATTCAGATATATTGAGATATATTTCTATTTCGAGAAAAAAAACAGAATATTTCTAGAATAAAGACAATAAGAATAAAAAATATTCTTGTTTCTACCTAGAATATATCAGAGAATGAGAAGAAAAAATTGTTTTCTTATTGAAATCGAAACTTCAGTGTATAGTTCAGAAAAACTTGAATAAGATAGTTCTCTGCTAAATAGCTGTATAGGAGAAATGCACTTCGCTCACCTTAGAAATGGACCCATTTGTGAAAATCTTTTGATTGTATAAATTATAGAATTGGTGAAGTCTAATTAGTATGGCATGTAGTCATCTTTTTTGAAAGGATGCCAATGTATTTTATATTAAATAAAAAATGTATTTACAGTAACCAAGTTAATTTTTTATTTTTAGACGTCGAAAAAAGGCTGTATTTCTCATTGCTAGTAAACATCATTGACGAACATATACTTGAATGTTTGCATACGACTGAGAAAGAGGGTCATGCCTATTTTCTGGAATATTAAGGCAAGTACAATCAGTTACTTTGGCTTCTGATAGTCACTCGTGCAAGATCGTGTTTAGGTAATAATCGTCCACTAGATAAATATTATAAAAGTATCTATAAAACATTCACTAACAGTGTGATTACTATACAAAATAGATGTTCGTCTAAATTAAAAGTGAGAAACTGGTATTAAAAGAACAAACATTATGGGTAGAACAACATTCTCTCTTTTTATCCCGTAGTGTGCTATAGAGACTATTTATATAGCTAGACAACTAAACCTGTAAAATGCTATATAATTAGAGAAATATGTTTTATAATAATATACTAAAGTAATTTATTAAATAAATATAAGCATGTATCAATACAAAAAGTGCATATTTTATAACATCGGGATCCTGAATAGAATATCATTTAGATGTAAGTGTATCAGTTTCTACTATTAATATAGTTTAAAATGTGCGAATTTTCCACAGATAAGAAAGAATTAGTGTCAATAACTATATAAATTAACATACCGTATTTCATTTTGTGAATTTGAATTACAAAAACTACCATTATCATTATTCTTTTGTTCAGAAATTAGATGGTCGTAGTCGATCAATGATGTTGATTGACGTGATAATGAAAGCATTTTGTGTGGTTACAGAAGTTTAATTAGAATAACATGACAATAAACATTTCTTTTTCATCGTCACAAATGTCCTTGCTAGAATGACAAGAGAAGAAATATGCAACAAAGATGAGTTTGTTTCTTTTGTATTATTATGATGATCATAGTTCAAACATGTTCTTTATTTTTTGCGTAATAAAAAAAGTACTACAAACTCTTTTTCTTCTCTTTTTTTTTATCTCACTTTCTTTCATGCTGGTCGTTAGAACACAAAAAAGACCTTATTGTGTAGAGCTTATTGATAAATAAAACATCCAAGTTATATAGTGGGAAAAATATAGGCCATTTAAGACTAATAACAAAAATCTTTCTTTTCTGTAACAGATGTATTGATTCTTAAAGAAAAAAGATTGTCATCTATCAATGTAGCTTTTCCGCAAGAGATCAATCAGATGTTGATGGCATGGCTTATTTTTTCTGGTGTAGTTAAAATAATTCAGATTATTTGCTCATATCTCACTGCGATGTTTCGGAGGAAAAAAACTACCGAAACTAATAGAATTTTGTCGTATTTTTGTGAAAGATCTCATCGGTTAAGAGTAAAAGTCTAACATTCTCGCACTTTTACACTATGGTTGAAATAGTCAGCGTCTGACATACAATAATTTTAATTAAAATATCTTTAACTTCTTTTAGTTCAGAGAAAAATTTCTTCTTTTCGAGATCATATTCAAAACAGAATACAACTTGAATGCCTGTGAAAAAACAGTTTTATCATGTGATTCTTTTCCATAATATAAGAGTAATTAATGATTACCTATTGAATGAAAAAATTCTTGCTGCGTTAGAACGTTGGACATATCAGACTTAGTCGTGTATATTGACATACATTTAAATATATACAAAAAGCATTCATCATTTTATTTTTTTTGTGTATTTTTACTTTTTAAACGAAACTAATGGCAGATTTATACTCAATGAGTATAACTATACCAAATAAGGTATCATGCAAATGTTTCTTTGTATTCACAATGAATCATACTATATTTACTGATCATTTCGAAGATAGTAGAAATTTGCCACTAATCCATTCGCTACTCATGAAACAAATTTTCATTCAATACATACCAAAAGGTAATCATTAATTACCCTTGTATTATGGAAAAGAATCATATGACAAAAGTTGTGTTTTCACAAGCATTCAAGTTGTATTCAATTTTGAATGTGATCTCAAAAAGAAGAAAATTTTCTCTGAAATGTGTTGAAGATATTTAAATGGCAGCCTCTTGTATTCTGTAACGTTTTTTTATGAGCGAGATCTTTTATTTCAGCTGTCTTGATTGCACAGTGAATGTCTAAGAGACAAAGTAAAAAAACTGGAAGTATAACTTTTCTTTTTTTGTTCTTCCTCTATCCAAATGACAATATTCCTATGTGAAAGAAATTATTTATGAATAGAATAACCTTGTGATAGAACACTTTCTTCTCTAGAAAAACTTTTTTTTTCAAAAGAACAAATAAAAATAATTGCATTCACAAACTTCTTTTTTTTTCCCTTTTTACTAATGGTTGTTTTTCTTAGCGGAAGAACCAGTTCAGTAAAAACATAAATCTTTTTTCTTTTTCCAACGTTCTGAGAATAAAATTCCTCTATCATCACTCTTAATCGATGTTTTTCAACTATCACAACATTGACGTCGACGTGACCATTTATGAGAACTATATAACCTATACTTATAGAACGCATTAGCTAATCATTGTTCATATTTAAGAACAAATTAGTTTCACTGTTCCGAAAACTATTCACTCTTGAACTTAAAAATAAAGTGATTCATATATCGACTGCTTATGTTCTATATTGATAACATTAAATATGAAAGTTCACTTTGTAGTATATGAAACGAAAAAGAGTAAAGTGCGATATTTATCACAAGGCATCAAAGTTTTCTCATTCCTTTGTTAATAACTAAGCCACTTTTAATCAGAGAAAAACGATATTACACAAGTAGACCCATACTACTGGCAGCTGTCCACTAATATAAAATTTGTCTGAAAATTCATTACCATCAATTATATCCATTAGTTGATTAGAAGTACTACCGAAGAAAATGACCAGAATGATCTAAATTGACTTAATGTCATGTTGACTTTTCCCGTTTTTATTACGAATTAGACCATCTTGCAGAACATTTTGAAGTTGATCTAACCAATGAATTAATTTCCATTCAGACTGACTAATTTTATTGAAATCTAAAGAAACAGTCATTTTTTACTGATTCGTTAAACCACTTGAAAGCCAACACCGAATACTCTAAATGTAATATTTGTGGAAACATCTTTCGACGCATGAAACAAACATTTCTCGGTAAAATAAGACACCTCCGAGCATTCCATAACATTTTTGTAATCAGAATGCATTCAATTCACGAGAGGCGTCGGAGACAAACTTCGTTGTTTTTCTAATGATTTGTGGTCTTCCGTAAATCAAATGCAGTCGGATTAAAAAATGTCGTATAGAGCTCGAAGTCAGCGTCGTGTAGATTTGGAATAATTCAGATGATTTCACCGTCTCAAACAAACCGATTTCGATGCTATGATTTTAATGGCATTGTTTAGAACACTGAACTCTATTACAATTGTAAAAGAACTCGCCCAAAACAGGTGAGAACTTACTGTGACAACATCTTCAAAATTTTTTTCTGAAGTTTTCAATACAAACAGTAGGGAGTCTAATTTACCAAGTTTCTAGAACATCAGCCTGAAAGAGAAAAGATGAGACTATCAGATTCATCACAATCTCTTCATTCTGCCAGAGCAATGCGCACAGAAAAAGATTGAAATTCATCTATCATATTTAGCAAATTTTCTACGAAATTGTGTTAATTTGAGAAACATGTAGCCAAAGATTTGCTTTTCGAATGGTCTAATATATACCATACACAAGAATGGCGAAATGTAGTCAGCTCAATACTTATTTAGTATTAAAAAATGATTAACTTTAAGACTATTTGCAGAACATTAGATAAAAATCTACAATTAACCATGAATGAAGCCGAGACATGACGGCACTTAATAGCGTAGTTTTGCAGTTTACTGCAAAACTAAGTTCATATGTTCGAATCTCTGTTCGTACAAACTTGATTTCGTGTTTTTTGATTGTTTTAGTTTACAATACTATAATGGAATATTTTTCCGCTTGTATTCTTAAAGAATAAAGCTTATATAAACAGCGAAAAAAGAATTATCATTGCCCTTAGCATAATGTTGAAAAAATGAACGCAATATTTTTTTTAATTATCGGGGACTAATACTTATTTGATTTACTGTACCTTTTGTTATAATCAACGAAATAAACAGAAGAAGAACAGACAATTCATTGCCGTCACTGTGCTTAACATCATAACATGACATAGGAAAAAAATAAGAAAAAATTATCACGTTATGGCTTTTAATACAGTAACGAGTGTGTACTAATGTATATAAGGAATAAATACATTATTGCAACTCAGTTGCTTTATTTGTTTGTAGATGAAAACATATGCTCGTAATATTTTAAAACAAATTATAATAAAGTGAATTTATAAAAAAGTGAATCATGTACACTTTGTCTAGTTTTAAGAAAGCTTTTGTGAGTGAATGGAAAAATGTTTTCATATGCAGTTTTTTAGATTTTTTCGAAAACCACTATCAATCGACGAGAATGTAATTTATTTTTATGCTTTAAATCCTTATCTTTACTGATGTGGTACATTTTTCATCTGTTTCGCCATAGAGGAACCCAATGTTCAATTTATGTTTAATCAGAAAAGCTCTAGGAATTAATTTCGCTAAAAAAACATTCTGTTCTACTCCGTTATTCATGCTTAACACAAATATCAAGTTTATCTGATCTGATATTTTGAGAGATTTGACGATTTTATCTACGTTGACTAAAGTATCTCAAGTTCTTTTGACCATGTTATAAAAAGTCGTTTCTAATAACTTTTTCTTCATCTTCATGGAGTATTGTAAGCTTTAAACAATGCATATAGTGAGAATACATCCTATGATACTTTTAAAGAGTCAAAAAATTAGAGTTATACGATAAAACTCATCTGTATAAAAGCTAAAATTTTCAATATTTTACATTTTTCATGGTAGTGATAGCGCAACCTGCTCTTTCAAATGAAAAAAATTAAATCATATCACATTAGTTGACGATTTACTAAAAATGTTGACTCTTTTGAAAAATTTGATGGGCTTTTTAGTAAAAATTTAAGACGTCAGTATGACGTAAGAAAAATGTGACTCAGCTAATTTTATGCGCTCTTTTGATTGAAAACAATTTCTAGAAAATCTAAAACACTGCGTGCAACAGTCTGTGTATGGTGAAATTAAACACCTATTAAAATCATTCATTAATACAGTATTATAAAGATGGATGTGATTTTATTACATTCCGATAAAACATTGGATGTATTAAAATTTTCATATATCGTCAATTATAGTTTAGGTCGTGGTAAATATAACAAATAGTATCTGAAACTTCTTACGATTACATTTTAGAAGATGGTTCGCTTTTTTTTAAGTTAGATATTCAGATGTTTAAGTAAAACCAATAGTAATTACTAGAAAAGGAGAAAAAAAGAGAAAAAGTTAGTGATTATGCTTGAAGTACAAACTTTTAGATATTTACAAAACTATGCAGAATAATACAGATGCAAGCAACGTAAAAGAAGGTGCGATTGACAACGATGTATATCACAATATCAGAATATTTGAATACGTGTATATGTAAACATCTGTTCCTACGCTTTTTGTATACTCATGCCCATATTCATCGAACAAATTTTTAAAACTCATGCACATTAAAAAGTTTCTTCTCCTATTCAATGGCATGGATATGATTAATGGAATATGATTAACAAAAATTTAAACTACCACATAACTCATTATTTATTCTCGGGTGGCGAACAAATGGTGAATGATTCCATTCTATTCGGCAAGATAAACGACCAGACAATATTAAAGATGATGATGAACGAGCATTCAATGGTCAACGTATTAGTTTAACATTGAGAACAGTGGCAACATTTCGTCATGTTTTAACAGGAAAATCATATAGTCAAGATGCAAAATGTAAAACATCAGAAGAATTCGACCAAAAAAAACAAGAACAAAATGATGCTGAAAAATTACTCCATGCATTTTCGGCAGAAAATCAAGACCCTAATTTTGATTGGGATAAATGATATGGTAAGGGTTTTGATGCCATAAATTTTAAAGTACTAAATGCTAATAAAACATAATTTTTAATAAAGCGTGTTATGGATTAAAAGATTTTGGTGAATAAGAAATGCATCTAAATATCGAGAGAGCCATACAAAATAGCGAGAAATAAAATTTAAAATTAGAAACCGAGAAAAAAAAAAAAAGAAAACGAAATGTTTAAGCGGCATGTGTCGTTTGATGATCGTCAAATGCTTCTAGAGCACTTCGTCTAAATTCTTGTAGTGTATGTCCAAATTTAGTCCAATCATCTTGTTTTGGATTGGTTAATAATTCATTGACATCATACACTGTCAGTTTGCCTTGATCATCACCCAACACAATTTGTTGACCATTATTGGACCATATGCATTTGTTTAATGCAACATTGCCTTCTAATTGGGTAGTTAACAATGGTAATTCCGAATCATTATTCAAATTCCATATATCAAATCGCCCCGTGATGTCAACTGTTAAAAATACACTTGGATGAACCTAAAAATAATAACCGAACTCAAAATAACGAGAGAGAGAGAGAGAGAGAAAGAGAGAGAGAGAGAGACAAATATAATAACTATACTCACTGGTGACCATTTCACATCTATGAAGTATAAATAAAACAAATTAGACATATTATATGACAAACGTTATAAAGACAAACCTGTTAAGTAGTCACCATTTACTTCAAACGAATACAATGGCTTTGTTTCCTTTACAGACCATAATTTAACACTCCAATCGAATGATGAAGTTAGAAATAAATGTGAGAAATCAATATTACCATTTACAGTATTATGACAACTAACACCTAAAATGAAATCGTATCCATTTAATATATATATCATCACTCAAAATACTTTTTACCTGTTATTGGTCCAAAATGGGATTCGTATGCTTCATTAATACCCGCTTTATTTCCATGTCTTGTTCCCGAATAAGCTTGTCCTTCTTCACTTCCAATAATAAAATTATTAACATCAGTACCTGGAAATGCCTGTCGTGTTGCGGCAACAGGCTTTGATTTATACGTTAAATCCATAATTTCTTGTGGTTGTGACATCATTTCCATATTCCAGGAACACATTTTACCTTCATTTGAAATTGATATTAAATTATTTGCATTTTGTGTACCAATTACTTGTAAACAATAGACTGGATGTGTATGAGAGGATGCTGATAAGGCTGTACGTTGGACAGGTGTACGTTTATTTGTACGTGTATCCCAGACAACGATTTGGCCACTATATGTACCAGCTAAGATGATATTTGGATGAAATTTGCTAAAACAACATGATGTTATCCAACTTTGACAATTCTAAAAAGAAAAGTCAATTCCATATCATGTAGTTTATCTTATATAGTTGACTTACATATACATATTCTGGTGTTGGTTTTTGCTTGTATTTTGTATTCCATACTAATGCCACACCATCCGATTCATGTGGTGATTCATCATTTTGTGAATAGGATGCAAGAATTAATTCTGGATAATATGTTGAAATGTCAATACAAGTGACAATACGATGTTTTGTCCATCTTTCGTCAAAAAATTCTCGATCAAATTTAATTATTTCTCCAATATCCATTTTTTCATTCTTAATCATATCTCGTCCACTATAATCTTTGAAAATATCTTGTGTTGTAGGTATTTCGTACAATGTTCGTTCAATAATACGTGCTGAACGTTGAAAAAAATCTTGAAATTTTTCACTTTTAAACATTTGTTCTTTTTCTTCATCTGTTAGCTCAGGTTTTTGTTGTTGAAGATGTTGTTGTTGTGATTGAGATTGTTTTCTTTTTGAGCGCGGTTTACCATCTTCATCAATACCCAATATTTTGTTTGTAATTAAACTCATTGAATCATCATCACCATCACTAACATAGACTAATCGATTCGGATCGTTTAGTGTACGAAATTCATCATCCCATTGCATCATATTGTCTTGATGTGTTGGACTAATTGTGGGATCTTTTTCACCACTTTCTAACGTTTGAACTTCTTTTGAATAAGTTACTAATTCTTTCGGTGGAACACTCACAGTTGATAAATGAACAATTTGTAAATCGCATACTTTTCTTGTTGAAGACTGTGAAGATGATGTTTGATTTATCGATGATGCGGAGGGAGACGCAGAGACGTTTGGTGATGATAACAGCTTAGCACTTGAAGTTGGTTTAATGCCAACTTGTTGCAGGATACTATCGGGATCTGCATCGATTGTCGCTGAACTACTGGATTCAACAATTGATGATGCGGTATCGACGGGAGTTCCCCCACCTGACGGTGGATTACGTGCGAGTTTTGCTCGACGGATTTCTTGTAATTTTTGCTTTTTTAATTCAATTTCTGAACGTATATCCATTACTTAGAGTTGAGTTGTATCAAAATATAATCTAGAAATATATCACGATATTGTTCAAAGACTTTAGGTAGAAAAGGGTTCAACATCAAGGTTGATTCAGTTTTCATTTAATATAAAACAAAGACGACTTTATGCATCGAGCACCCTGTTATTTGTCCTTAGTCCATTGTTGATACATCTTCAGTACATCTTTCATTTGCATTCTGATTATAATATGGAGTTATTCGGAGGCAGTATAAAAATTTTATCGTCTGTTATAATATAACAAACATACAGTGACCAGCTAGAATAGATGCACTACATTTTTTGCATATTGAATGATCTATCTGATCATCTATATCACTAAATTACCAATACCATAGGACATTAAGCTACATAGTTAGTTTAGAAAACATTAGTAAATGTATCTTTGTCATTTTATCTCTTATTAATAAAGAGAATAGCTTTTTTTTCGAAATGATAACTTTGCGTAGAATCAATAAAAAATCAACGTTTTCTAGCAACAGCTGGTATCTATCATCGCCTGCTGTGACATCGTCTTTTTACCGATTCTTTTTTTGTAAAAGGAGGAAATGCTTCTATTAGTCTTCCACTAGAGAATGAATGATCAAAAATGATAAGCTATTTCATTTTACAGAAATTTTCTCAGAAAATTCTGTCCATGAATTAATTCTAGTAAAAATTATTCTTAACATAACGTTCCTTCAAATGTAGACATTATTGATCCCTTTAAAAGATGGAATGCATATATGTTTTGATCGAAGTTTCAGTAGTTACTATGAGGCGAAAGCCTTGACTCGGTCAATTGACGTAATAACTTTGAGCAAGTTATTTATGTCTTTAGTGCTTTAGATCATCCGTCCGATAACATAATCATGCGCAATATAATTTCTCTAGTTAGTTCCGTTGACTTTTCAGAACGAGCTAGTACGTGAATAGTACGCATGTAGTTTAAGCAATTGAGCGAAAGGACTATGTATCAATTTCAAGAATAATAGAATGATCACAATAAACTAACCAGCGAAGTTCTTAACAATAAATCTGCTGATGAGGAATAGTTTGACCTATGTGAAAAATGACTCTTCTAAAGATTTTTTATTTTGGACTAATTGTTTGTCCTATTTATTATTTTTCCTACAAAAAGAAAAAAATTTAGAATACATTCTACAAATTTTGCATTAATATAGATAAAAATGGATATAAGAAAAAAAGAATTATTCTACAACATTCGTCACATGCATAGACAAATATTTGTTCTTTGCCATACATATACTCATTATAAAAACATCTGACTAAAACGAGAAGAGTGAGAGATCTGAATAATTGAGCAAAGAAGAAGACCGGTATTGGTAAAAATAAAAAAACAAAAACAAATTCTCTTTGAATAAGTTACCAAAAACTGTCTTAAAGTCGACATATATCAGACAAAAGATTGAGGTGATCATTATCAGTACAAACAAAAAAAAATGTTCACTAAAAAGCTACAAAAAAAATTGAGATTATGTGCATGCAACAAATAAAATAGAGTGACATGCGCGTGTGAGAAAATAAAATATATATGATCTGACAAAATACAAAAGTCTCTACATACTGTTGACGGTAAAAGGAAAAACAAATAATTCACTGTTTGGTCAATGGGCCTCATTTTTTACTCATCACTGAATGTTTTTACATATTTGATTGATACTACGGATTGTCTTGGTTGTTGTTGATTTAACAATAGTGCTTGATTATCCTCTTTACTTATTAAATCTTCTTCCTCAACATCTGAATCTTCAATAACAATAGCTAAATTCATTGTATCTAATATTTCACTATTATTGTTTGATTGTTCCATGCTGACACCTGCAGAAGGACTAAAACTACGATTTGTCACATTTTTAGAATGTTCTTTTAATGATAAACGTGTTGCACGTTGTTGTTCTTCACTTGAACTATTGGTAGTAGTACCGTCCATGACAAGAATAGCAGCTTTTTTTTTGGGTGGAGGTTTTGGTGCCAAATCGCGTCGTTGAAAGAAGCCAAGCTATAAACGAAAATAAAAATATTATTAATTAACAAAAGATAGTACGAAAACACAATATAAATATCACACATGTCATGCAAGAGACAATCAATCACTAACAACACACTGACGCTTATGATAAATGAGGATGCGCACAACAAAGATTAGAATAGACTGTTCACTGTAAAATTAGCGGACAAAAATGATCTAGAAGTACACACACAGAGCACGAGAATTTACATCTTTAGTTACACATAGCCGAGTGGTGGTGTATTCCGTTTGAAAAAACCAACCTATGATAAATTTTCGATTGAACAAGTGTGTTCGATAATGAACTTTCTATCTTATCTTACCAGACAACAAACGACAATGATAAATATGAGCAAAATAAGTCCAGCCATTGCGCCCACAAGCACTGCCCAAAGTGGTAATTTTGGTACAACAATTTCACTTCTATTAGCAAATTCTGCTGGTGTTGTTGCCTAAAAAAAGTACAAATTAGTGTTTACTAACAAGTATTTTTATTTATTTTCGACGTACTGATGCGTTATCATTAACGATATTTGTCTGAAATATAAGTGGATCTTGTATACTGATTTGTGCATATGATTTGATATCTACTCTATCGTATGTGGTAAAATAATCTTCAATTAATGTACTATTCCATAAACGTGCCCGTAATTTAATAAAATAGTATTGATGTGCTTGAAGTGTCTTTATATAACAATTAATTGGATAACATCGAACATTACGATAGTTTGGATTACATGTTAAAATTAACGTTCGAATTGTTGATAGACTGTCTAGTGTCAGTGTTTTTATTGGAATTGATTCTGTTATTGCAATAATATCATCATCAATTAAATGTTGACGTTTTTTTCTCACATTAATTGAACTTAATATATCAATATGATCATGCCAGTGACGATCACGTTTACAATATCCTTCAATTTTTACTCCACTATTGGAGAGAACAGGTGATAATTCTATTGTTGGTTCCTCTGTAAGATATAATAGTAATTTCCCATCATCCCATTCATTATTCAATGTTTCATAAGGCCAATATATTGTCACCTTATGAGAACGAACAGTATTTGGACCAGAATTTACAATCGTATAAGTATGTATGATATCAATTCCAAATTGATCTAAATTTTTTACGGAACTTAGTCCAATTATTTTCCCACTAATAATTACTTGTTCTGGTTCATGTGTACCACGTATATTCATATCAGTTTTAAGTAAAACTTTTGATAACAATGTTACATTATTGTTGAAAATATTAGTATCATTTGTTAAGGTTGAAGAATTAAAATCAAATCGTAAAATATTTGCCAACGATATGTTGGATAATGTAAATATTAATTCGGTTATTGATACTTTATCTGATTGGAATGGATTATTAAAATAGTCGGTCATTTTACAACGTAAATGGTCACGCATTATCGGTGCACATACGTACGTTTTATCATCCTTAGAAGAATAAAAAGAAAAATTTTGAATTATTATATTTGATAAATGATTTTGAACTTACCATAACAGCATGAGAAAATTGTACATACGAACTTGGATAATAAATATCAATTTTTGTGCCAAATGCCGGATCGGCCTTTCTACGAGAAAGATGTGGTGAAATATTAGATAAATTTAAACGTACACGAATTTCAGAATCAATGCCTAGCACTGATATATTGGATGATCTAAAAATAATAAAATGTACTTTAAATTTTCTTCAGAACATGCTCAAAGAATTTTTTGTGTACATGCGTCAGCATATGTGAAGAAATTTGATGAACAGCTAAAAGAAAGAGGCTCAGATATTTGTGAAGCTCATTTTCAAAAAGCCTCTGTGAATTACATGCATAAGCATACGAGCTTAATCTCCTGTTTTTATAGCTTCTTTTCATATACTAAATGTGTAAATATGTTTTGCTTACGAATCGGTTAACATCACTTGACTTAATTACACAAAAAATCAGAAAACAGTTGATCAGAAACTTGAAAGTTTACACCGATTTGATTCTTAGAGAAAACTGTAGTCTTGGTAAAATTATTTCAAGCTTTTTGTTGACTTACTTTTGCCCGTTAACGAAGTCAGCTGTCAATTGTAAATCAGTACTACATCGATCAGCATCACCACAACCTTTGTAAAAATTAGCCTAAAAGAACAAAGATTTAGAACAATGTTAAGCTGAAATATACTTCTGTATTTGACTTACTTCAAATTGTATGGTTCTTTGTTCTTCCGTTGCGTTAATCATGGGAAAACTATCCTCAGTATATGTTCGTGTTCGATGATCATTTCTATCATGAGATATATTATAGACCAGTTGAAATTGAATTGGTGTAAGAAAATCATCGTTTCCACTCTAAAAAATATCCAATTATGATACTTCTTTCTATTATTTCTTAAAAATATCTTACTTTTGTAATAAATGTTTGGTTTTTGCATGTTCCCAATGTTTGTTTACTCGTTATCGTTGGTAAATGATTAACAGTCGATATAATACGACCAATAGTTGATAGACGATCAGCAGATAATGTGTATATGATAATTAAATTTTGTTTGTCAACTGACTTGAAACAAATGTTCACATCAAAACTAAAGAGACACATCTAACATCTGTATGATTCAGAAAATATTTAGTAAAGTATTGTTTACCAAACAACAGGTATACTATCAATTGTTTCGCAACGTCGGTTTTCTGCACTATATTTTATTGCCTGAAGAGCTTTCATATTTTCAATACGAACATTGACGTTCACCAATGGATGAGCTCTAAAAATGCAGCCATACTTTCTCTTGAAATCTCAGCAATTAATGAAAGAAAATACCTAATTATCAACGTCATATCTGACTTAGGTACACCCACAATTAATGTTGGATAAATAGATGAATTTTGATAAAGATCATTTGTAAATGTTGATTGTGTTGCCAATGAAAAACCAAAATCACGAACAAATGGTTGTTTAATAACATTTACTAATTGACTTGGTACTATTTTTTGACTAAATTTCCATTGTGTTTTCCAATTGTCTTTACCAAGATAAATGTAAATACTTCCACTATTTATTCCATCAGATTCACCTGGAGCTGATATTGCCAAATCTTTACAAAAAATAGAGGATAACAACGTACAGTTTCTTACAGTGGCTTCAATTTAACTTACCATCAATACCATCTTTATTCAAATCCGGCAGACAGGCAATAGCAAATCCAAATCGAGAATGAGCAGGAGCTACCAATAGTTTCTGACGACGATCATTTGTGAACTAAAAATAGATTATATTCACCATTTGTCAATAGACAGATGAAGTTTCGACTACCTTTCCGTTTAAGCCAAAATAAATATAAACAGCGCCACCATATGACGGTCGTTTTGAATAAAAAAATGGTGCACCAACCGCTAAATCTGTGTGTCCATCACCATTCAAATCACCAGCAGCCAAAGAGTAACCAAAATAAGCACCTAATTGTTCACCAATTAATTGTGTACGATTCGTAGACATTTCCAGTGTATCAAAACCAAAGTTTGACGTGGAAACAAAGCGTTTATTAAAAAACCATATTTCACCACGTTGATTTGATGCACGTGGAGCACTCGCTAATAACAAATATTCTGTTGAAGATGTCAGTTGTTCTCTTGTTTTTAATTTAATCATTAACACCGAATAACCTAAATAAAAAATGAATGAATTAGACATATGAATAAAATAAGATAAATAGAAAGACTAACCTAAGTAACTATATTCAGCAGGTTGAACTGAATGTTGTCTTAGCAAATATGGTTGTCTTAAAATTGTATCTGAGTAATCGGCTTCTACTCTTCCAGACCACTGGAATGCACCTGGTTCACCAAATGCGATAATGGATGAACGCTGCAAAAACAAGCAAATTGTCTGTATAAGGCAACAGACTAAACAGTAGGCTGTAAGAAAAATGACAGTTCTTCTTACCGATGATTGAATTTGAGATAGACTCATTCCACTTTCACACACTGTAACACCTTCATGCAATAATTCTGTTTCTGCATCAAGATCACAAAAATCGTAATACAAATAATCACGCTACAATAATAACATGTAAAAACATGTTGACTAGTGTTGTCAGAAATCTGTTTTGAGTTACATACACGATCTGGAGATATTTTGATACAGCCACCGCGCATATCATATCGTTCTAAACTTATGCTACGCATCATACGATAGCCACAAGCCTAAAAAAAGTAAAAATAGTAGCACAGATTCAATAACTTGTTCATCAAATGGTGTCTACCACAATGGTATCGTCTGCTGTCGCTGCCACAGCTGCACCGAGCCAAGCATCATCAAGTATATTAGAAAATGATGGTATTACGTCTGCAATTTTATCTATTTAAATAAGAAAAAGAAAATTCAGTATCACAAATCACAATTCTATTTTTCTCTTACTTTCAAAAATAATTGATTTACATTCTTTCGTATTTTCCGGACACTCGTAAAGAGTACCAAACAATCTACCAGACTCATATGTTACATTAACATCGAATTGATTGAATATACGAGCTTTTGGAGCACCCACATAAACCCTACAAGAAACCAAGTAAACATGAGTTAACAAACTTAAAACTGAATCGTTGTCAACTACATAACTTGAAAGCTCAGAAATACTTAAAACTAGTTCGAAAACATTTCTCTTTGGATACCACTGAATGAGAGTCAAAAGTTTTGCTGTTTTGCATGAAATAGATGAAGAATAATTCATTCAAAACCAGGAGTAATAGAATTAATAGCAAAAAAAGCTTGCCGACAAATTATTAACGACATTACATACCATCGATGCTTTCCAGGTGCCGCAGCACTCACAACAGCATATCCAAATAATGAATTTGGAGGTCCAATGAGCACATCAGGTGACTCAATATCAAGATTGAACGAAACAACTGTTTTAAAATAAATCATGAGTAAATTAAGAAGACTGTACATTATTTCTTCAGCACCCTGTTAATATGGTCGAATACAGAAAATCGTAGGTAGAAAGTCGATATCTTTTTGACTTTGCATATTTTAACTAATAAAGCATTCTAGTTGTTACAGTTTTTTCATTCAGACGTTAACAAATGGAACATATTCTGTCTTTTCTTGAGATGAACCAGCCGAAATTGACAGGAGAAAAGATCCTAATCGTAAAGTGAGTCATTTAATGCCAGTATTTTATTAGCCGGAAGGGGCTATTACTAAATAACTTGCGCCTCTTCAAAGAAGACAACAATTCTTTTTTATTAGCATCCTATCTCGTCTTTTGATGTTCGTAATGAAAATCAATTGATTTTACATTTCTTAACACACTGGAAAAGGGAGAAAATTTTACGGAAATATCTATAGTTATTTGTGGTCAAAATAAGTGTTAGACTGATAACCGTGACTGTCAACGTATTTTCAGCTTGAAAGGCATTGATAGTCGCGAATATGAGTTTTGACATAGAAACAGTGGGAATAAGTGATATTTAATGCAAAAAGATGGAGTAATTCGTTTTAGGGCATACTTAAATGTTTTTCGATGAATACAAGCAATTCTGACAGCCTGGAAAATTTTATTTGAAAATCGATTAATAACCCAGTGACTATCACAAACTATATCATGGAAAACATATTTTAGAACAAATCATAATTATATAATAGAAAGAATGGGGAAGCACCCTGAATCATTGCATTGTTGATAGTGAAGATGGCTACGTCTCAAAAGAGACACAATATATCTTCTCATACAATCTGGTCTCACGAGCGATATCCCGTTCGGAATCATATCACCGGAAAAAAAATAAAGTTGGTTTAGAGTTACTGAAAAGTGATTTTTCGTATTCATCACACTCGATAACCCAGAAGATTTTCTATTTTTGGCTCGGGGTACTTCCGAAAGTTTAGGAAAAGTTTTCAAATTAATATTATTTTTCCATAGAAAACTTTTTGCGCCATTTTGTTTCAAAATTTTTCTTAAACTTTCGGAAGTACCCCTCACCAAAAATAGAAAATCTTCTGGGTTATCGAGTGTGATGAATACGAAAAATCACTTTTCAGCAACTCTAAACCAACTTTATTTTTTTATTCCGGTGATATGATACCCTATATCCCGAATGGGATATCAGAGAAAATTTATATCCTGATCGGGATATTTTTACAAAACATTTTGGAAAAAATCATTACCGCAAAAATCGTGACGTTATTGCAGAAAAGTAATAAAAAAAACAAAAGTAATAGCATAAGAGAGCGCTCCCATGAAAAACTGAGTCGGAATCTAAGTTGCGCTAGTCCTGATTCAAAAGTCTACCGTTCACGATTTTTTAAATTCTAGTGGACATATACAAAACAATCTGATCGGGATATATTTTTATATCCCGTTCGGGCTATGAGACCGAACTGTCATAAGAGATACAAATCCATATTTTACAATATATCTCTTTTAATCAATTAAGAAGTATCTCTTTTGAGAAACGAATATTTTGACAAGAAATTGCGTTTCTCAAAAGAGATGCATTATCTCCTGTTTCTAACTAGAATCTTATCTATTTTGTATTCTAAATAAAAATCAAACTAAATATGAGGTAGAAGCAATTGAGATTATCTTAAGCGGTAATTAGTACTTTAACTGGTTCAAAAAAACTCCGCCACTCGACTTAACCTTGAAGATAAAAGGGTTACATAAAAGCGTCAGTGCTGTGTAATTTAAATTTTATTTTTTTGAAACTTGTATAAATAACAATGCTCAAATCAATATTGCGTTACTCTTCAAAAAATTATCATGGATTTTATACGAAAAGGCACGTCTACCATACTGTTCAAAGAAAATCTTTTCCGACATCAACGTCGGAAATACTAATTGCCGCTTAAGATAATCTCAATTGCTTCTACCTCATATTTAATTTGATTTTTATTGGGGATATTGAAATAAGAAATAATATACCTCTTTTGAGAAACGCAATTTCTTGCTAAAATATTCGTTTCGTAAAAGAGATACTTCTTAATTGATTAAAAGAGATACATTGTAAAATATGGATTTGCATCCTCTCATGAGAATATAAATTGTATCTCTTCTGAGAAGTTTCGAGTGAAGATGCAAAAAAGAATGTTTACATATGAAAAAGCATTAAGTTTTACATATTTGTAAAAGAAAACAAATTTTTGGCGAAGATTTACTTTTTTCTTTTAAATGTCTTCAGAAGCCTTACAAAAAAGCTTATATGTCATATTTGACAAAAAAGTCTGTTCGATGCCGATGACATTGTTCGTTTTCCTCAAACAATTTTCTATTGCTAAAAATCAATGTCGCATTTAAATTTTGTTCTCGTGTTTTGTCATGGCGCCATTGCCGTGTTACAGGCAACAATTTCAAACCGTTTTCGACTCTCACCAAAAGGAAAATCTAAAATGAAAATCTAGCATTCAAACATTGATTAAACATACAAATTTTTTGTTCTCTTTTTCAACAGGCCATTGACTCACAGGCTTACGACATTAATTTTACACCGCTATTTTATTTACTCATTTTTATTTGCTTATATTTTAGCATCAGCCAATTCTCTGTGATCATTCAGTTTTTCTCCTCTTCTGTAGTTTAATATAGCTGCAATTCAGTATTGATTGACTATAAATAATGTGATTAAATTTATTAAATTGATGGATTTAAATCGATCAAATATTCTTTCTATTTTAAGTGTATCGATGACCGCAATAGTTGTCGAAAGAGAAAAAAAGTGCTGCTGATTATGACTCTTATGCTTTTTTTTCAGGGTCATCTTAATTTCAGATTTTTCTACTAAATACACATGTACATGTACAGCAAGAAAAGAGAATGTTATATAAGTATATGGTTCATTTTCTCTCTCTCTCTCTCTTCCTCTTTGTCGTTTTTTTCATGTTATTGTGTCCGTGTTATCGCATCTCCTGTTTAATACTAATAGAGATGGATGTTAGACATGAATTATTCGACATAATATTGGAGTGGTGAGAAATTTGCTTCTTACTACAAGATGATGAATGAAAAATAAAAGAAGTTTGATTTAGTAATTTTCTTGACAGTTTATTGTTGTGTATTTAGATACCTGTGCACATTTTAATAAAACGACCTTTTCAATTTTTAGTTTTCTCTTTTTCTATTCCGTTCAACTATAGATGAGACAATTATATTGTAAAATATGAAAAGTTGGATGTAAATCTCAGACTGAATGATCTATACAGAAATACAGAGAAAACGAAAATTATTTATTTCATATATTTTGAGATATGCACCATAAATAAATAGGGAGATGTGAGTAGAAAAAGTAACGATATTTGAATATAAAAGAGGAAACGTGTGTACAATTTATTCATATTTTTTTTTTTGCGTTTCTGTTTAGTGGAATAGTTAATTGCAGTGACAATAATTTTGTTGTATATGCGATGCTATTTTTATTATCATCATTATTCGAATTTTTTATTTGTAGAGTTGGTAAGATTCGTATCAGACTGCTCTCAATTTATCTATATTAATAGGAGTGAACAAGTTCGAGAGATACTTTCTAATAGCATGTCTTACTTTCGTGAAACGTTTCAGAATAGGTGAAGAAAAAATAGTTTGCGAAAATTCTTTTTCTATAAAATCTTTGATATTACTTTTACAGTAACAGTAGTTTCTAAACAGATTAGACAGAAAAGTTTAAAAGTATCTCCTAATGTAGCGTTTGTTCGAAAGAGATTAAATAAGATATTTTAAGAATTGACCTTGACAGAATGTTTTAATTATCTCACATCTCATTCTTTTTGCTCTTTTTTTAAGGGATATTGAGATGAACAAAAAAATATATATAGAACTCCAATAATGAATTCTCGGATCTTATCCAAAAGCGCATAAGAGAAAAAACGAGTATTATTTGACTACTATTGCACTAAAATGTCATGAATTAGAATGGACTATGAGCATTTGAGCGCATTTTATTTTCAAAAAAAATTTAGTACATCCGTTGTACAATGTGAAAGGTTATGATTGATGACTTTTGTTAAGGTTTATTAAAACATCTGTATTATAGCATAGGTCGTCTTAAATTTCATACTCGTACAGTTTCATGAACGAGGAATGTGTTTTTTCATTACCTAGATAGACACACCATATGCACATAGAGATAACAAAAAACTCATTAATTCTTGTTTTTTCTTTTTCTATCAAAAATTTTTTGAATAATAACGAAAGCGTTTCGTTTCAATATTCGTGATATTAAATTACCCTACAGTGTAATAATCGTCTGCCTATTGGACTATCAATGTGGACCTTGATCGCACTTTAAAATACAGTTATCTTGTTAATATTCGAGCTCTAATTTACTTCATTTTTACCCAAAACTTTCCTTTGTTCGTTTCAACTTTTTTCTTGAGATCAATACAAATTCAATAACAACTTCCAGATAATGTTATATATTAATAAGTTGTTCAACTACCAGTAAAAAGAGAGTGCAAACATAACACTCGAACCTAGTTTGAAGAAAAGACGGGAAATGACATAAAAAATCTACAATTTTTCATCATATAGAAGCTCGACTTAAGTATAGAGACAAGTATTTCTCGTTATTTGCATAGAATAATGCATCTATCTCTTTACAGATAGTTAGTCATTCAGTTTGATTACTCGTTCTTCTGTTTAGCACACAAACTTTTTAATTACAATTTTAATTCAAAAGAACTCCCAAAAAATATGAAAGACCATGATAGATATTTTCTTTATGATCTATCTACCACAAACTGACCGCACATAATGAGTGAGAGAATAACCTTGTTGAAAGAAGAGAAAAATGAATATACGATAAAGAAAAAGAAAATAATAATCTTACGAAGACTAAAACAAATTGAAGAAGGGTTATAACACGATACTCCTAAACTAACAAAAAAAAAAGAAAAGACGAACAAGAACAAAAATCGAGCGAAACAAATGAATTTTTTGCATCATCAGATAAAAATAGATAAAATATAAATTTTTGTTTCGTATATGTATATTTACAAACTCAGAAGTAGCTGGCAGAGCATTTGTTTGCATAAAACAAAAAAAGGAACAAGAAATACATCATTGGCAACGACTAGTGCCTGAAGTGAGTAGTAGAATAGTGAACAATTAGAGCTAACATACATACTTCAAGGATCATTATCTGTCATTTATTTGTTTTCTAGAATGAGATTTTATCTTTTATTATTACTTTTCGGCTTAACAGCTGAAATTGTTTTATCAACAATTTTATTAGCAACAAGTTCGAGAGAACTAACATTTCGAGAAAATCGACTATACAAACGTTTAGTAAAACGCCAACTACAAGGTGAACAAATTTCATTATAGAGTGGTTAGGTTATTACACTAAACTTTTCATTATAGATTGTATTCCGGAAAATTGTGCGGTTCCAAATTGTGGACGAGATTTTGTTGCTATGCGTTTACCCAATGAATGTTGTGAAAAATGTGTTCGTAAGTGCTACGTCGTGATGCAAGATGCGCTTACAACTTATTATTCATTTTATAATAGCCAATGAATATCAGCAATCGATCGCTCAACAAAATCCTCAAGCTCCTCAAACCCAATATGGATATGATCGATATCCTTACCAAAATCAACCACAGTATCAACAACCACAGTATCAACAACCGCAGTATCAACAACCGCAGTATCAACAACCACGTGTCGATGTATACATATTTGGTCCTGATGATGGCGCCAAAGTATCGGAAGGACAAAGTATCTATTTTGATTGTGAAGTTGTGGCACCATATCAACAAAATATTCAGCCAAGATGGTTACGTCAAGGAAATCAAGTATGTGTTTTGTCTTTAAAATGATATGACGGATTGCATACGAATCAATGGTGAAATTTGACCGCCAGAAACTGTTATCTAAAATATTTCATTTTTAACACAAACGATTTTATAGTTCTCCTTTTTTTTCAGCCATTACCATTTAAAGCAAGAAGTTCACCATTAGAAGGAAATCGTAAAATTGTGCGTCTGGCAATTGCTGATGCAACAGCAAGTGATGCAGGACGATATGAGTGTAGTGCTGGTACTGGCAATCCTGCTGATCAAGCATCAATCGATTTGCAGGTATTTGTTATTTCATCTAGTATAATTTCATGCGCTGGAAAAATCCCATTATACTGTACAGGTAACAGCCGGTGGTCAATATCCAAGACCTGCGCAACCAGCACCTTATAATCCTTATGGGGATCAGTCGGGTTATAATCAGCAATATCCTTACTATCCTCCGAGTAATTATCCTCAACCACCTCAACAACCAAGTTATCCATATGATACTAATCCGTATCCACCTGCACAACCAAATCCTCCTCCGTATAATGATCCTTATAATCAACCTGGTTATCCTTATTCGAATGAAAATCAGCCACAACCTCGTCCAGAAACAAACGATGACCAATCGGGAACTAATGAAGACGCAAACAATGTACCACGAACTGATCAAGCAACAACTCCTCCAGAATCTGAAAAACCTGCACCTTCTGAAAAAGAACCAGACGATGATGCGGGAGCAGAATATGATGGCGATTATGACGATGAGAATGCAAGATAAAGGACATATGCACACACATTATTTTCACTCCATTAATATTCATATATGCAATTGACTATTATTGTCAACAAAAACCTCACCATACTAGATGTTGTTATTACAGTGAAAAATGATATTTTAGCACATTCACATGCCGTTCTTCTTTTACTTTTCTATTTTTCCAGTCAATAAGTAAACTAACATAAGTTTTTTTTGAAAAATTCAATTTATTATCTCTATATGATAGAACAATTCAGTTGATAAATGATCTTTTACTTTGTGTTCCTTGTCTTTTTTCCAATTCATTTTCATAGGCTTTTTTTAAGTCCTTTTTATAATAAAATTCAGATAAATTTTAACTCAGATAAAATAAACTATGACTGATAATAGGGTAACAGGAGTTACCCTCACTAAAGGTAGAGTATTTACACTTTTACTTGATTTTCTAACTTTCGAAAATCTGTTCCTCACCTATGAACTGTTCGTTTTCTAACTTCTATGCTTCAATAGGATCTAGGGTTTTGTTTGTCTTATGCTGAGAAGAATTAGATATCTGTGATACAACTCTCAATCATATGCCTTTTAATAGCACTATGACATAGTGTGTCAAGCAACAGTGACATTCAAATATATTTATCATTACGCACAGACAATACAAACGCATTTCACAGACTATCAGACATCAAATCGCTACAACACATTTTACGATTGTACAAAAGCACAATTAATTTTCAAAAAGTAGTTTCAGATAAACTACGGTTATGTTGTCACGATCAAATATGTCTACTCTGACTTTCTATGTCGCGAAAATCGACTACACTGTGAATAAAAAATGCAGCCTGGCAATGATACTGTGTTTCTCGTATTTTCTTCAGTAAAATTTGATTTACTATCAAACTTCAATTTTGACAGAAAAAGTGCTGCATAATGTAGCTATTCGAAATGCATTTTTAATTACTTTTTATAACGGATGTCAGTTATACATCTATCCTTCTAGCAAAGTCACCTCTTAGTTTCTTTTCTCTTAGTTCTTTGTCGCAATTTTTTGGCTGTGAAGACTCAAATAGACGCCGTTAACACAACGGTTAGTTGCGAAGTACTATTACCGTTTTTTTGAAAAGAACGCGCTTGGGAAGATCGCTATAATTTTTGAAGGTAAAGTGATAGAGGCTTGTGGTTCTCACTGTTGGATAGAGGATCAGGATACGTAAGCGCAGGCAAAAACTAGGCTTCCAGGTAAGGCTTACCATG